GCACACCTCTAGTGTTCACTGTTCTGCCCTGTGCTGAAAAAAACGCCTTTTTCTTTTTCACAGCAGTTTCGAGAAATCGACGATTTTCGTTTTTCGTTTAGCCTCTGTTGAGCATAGGGAATGACATTCCCTTCAGGGTGCGAGAGCAACCATTGATATACTGTGCAAATAGTTTAGCTGTTAAAGAATATTGAAAATTGTCAATCAATTTCTCGAAACGGCGGTGAGAAAGACAAAGGCGTTTTGTCAGCATAGAGCAGTGTTGAGATAGTTTATGTTTTGTCGAGAAGGGGTTTGTTTTTCGAGTTTATTTTGTCCTAATTTTTCCAAACTCTTGTTGTTTGAACTGATTCGGAACAGGTGGTTGGGAGCTGAGTGGGTGGTTGGAGGGTGGGCGGGTGGTTGGAGGGTGCTACTGGTGTTTCTGTCTTTGTGGGTGGTTGGAGGGTGCTACTGGTGATTCTGTCTGTGTGGGTTGTTGGAGGGTGTCACTGTTGTTTTTGTCCGTCTGTGTGGGTGGTTGGAGGGTGTCACTGTTGTTTTTGTCTGCCTGTGTGGGTGGTTGGAGGGTGTCACTGTTGTTTTTGTCTGTCTGTGTGGGTGGTTGGAGGGTGTCACTGTTGTTTTTGTCTGTCTGTGTGGGTGGTTGGAGGGTGTCACTGGTTTCTTTCTGCCTGTGTGGGTGCTTAGAGGGTGTCACTGGTAGGCCCTACTTCTTTACTTTCCCTTTGTTGTTTCTGTCTGTGTGGGCAGTTAAAGGGTTCCACTGTTAAGTCCTACTTCTTTATTTTCCTTCTGTTGATTCTGTCTGTCTGTCTTTTTCACAGCACTAAATAACCATTGTTTTGTGGATGTGCTTCTCTTTACTCAAACAAACTCAACTGAGTGAGTGGTTGGCGGGTGCTCTGGTGTGATTTGCTTCTTTTTTCCTATCAAACATATGTCGCCCTTATCTCCCCTTCTTCTTTTTTATGTTTGTTACTCTCTTGTAACAGGTCTAATCTTCTCATATGACCTTATGCAGTTGCGAGCGCTGTAACACCTCTACTAAAACTAAACTTGAGTATCATTGGGTGTTTTTCCATCATGCTAATGTGTTTATTTTTATTTTAGGTTGTGTGTGGCAGGCAGGAAGCAGCCTGACTCTCAAATGGTGTAGACTGTGTGGGCGTAGACACACAAGGCTTACAGCATACGTGTAACATTTTTCTCTCTTTCTCTCCCCCC